TTTTTTGTACTTCATGGTGGGGTACAGCCATACAGTTCCATTCTCATTGTAGCACGCGTACGGTAATCCAGTACAATGACACGAATATGTCGAGCAATGATAGGTATGTCGATCTTGTTGGTTACTACCGTGTTCATATCCAAGTTTCCTGGAAATTTCTATGGAAAAAATACAATTTTGCACTGATCAAGGCTATAACTCACACATTTAACCCTGAAGCAACCTCTGGGCGGATCTACCCTCAAGGAAAGGCTAACTCATAGATTATTAGAACGCGGAAAAAAACCGCCGGTTGATCTAAGTCAGGGCGCGAATAACTGAAAGATCAAATAGAAAAATTGGAAAAATTACCTTATGATAAAAAAGGGGACAAATGATAGCACATTATATAGTTTATAATCAAACTCAATTAAAAGACTTAAATTGAGTTTTTTGAGGTTGAGGTTTTGATGAAATTTAAGTTTAAAGACGGTTTTTTAGGCGAGGATCATCACTAACATTGCTACTCAGTGAGAAAAATTTCAACCAGCAGAAATGTGTATTTGTTAACCTCTTACAGTCAAACAAGCTAATGCGTTGACCCCTAGAGTCGATCAATAATTTGAATTTTCGAATTTTGATTTCATTATTCAGTATAGAAATTTACAACGTCGAAAACGAAGATATGAAAATTCCAATCAACTTTAAAATCAATATACGACATTTTGATTGGTTAATCAGTGCTAACACAGGAAAGCCAAGAAAACATGGCGGCCAGAAATAGTCTTGGCCGTGTTTATGTGCTGGGAAAGCCTTTACCTGATATTATTCGACAGGAAATTGTTCATCTCAGCAATAGCGGATTGTCCAATAAAGCAATTTCGCGACAACTAAAAATTTCTAGTTGGGGAGTCCAGAAAATGATTCAACATTATCGACGACATGGAACTATGTCTCCATTTTGCTCGAGGCGGGAGCGTTCCCTACAAAATTACTGATGATATCCTCCAAGTAATTGAGGCATGGAAATGACAAAACCTAGTGTG